CCCGTGCGCCTCCCCTTTGTCGGCGGAGATAGAGTGCAGAACAGTGCTGCAGGCGGCTGGCAGGTTGGCAGGGATCCTTTTTTCCATTCTCCTTCCTCTGGCTGGTATTTTTTTCTAGGGCTGGGTTGGTTGGTTGGTTGGTTGGTTGCTTGCTTGCTTGCTTGCTTGCTTGCTTGCTTGCTTGCTTGCTTGCTTGCTTGCTTGCTTGCTTGCTTGCTTGCTTGGCTGCTTGGCTGCTTGGCTGCTTGGCTGCTTGGTTGCTTGGTTGCTTGGTTGGTTGGTTGGTTGGTTGCTTGCTTGCTTGCTTGCTTGCTTGCTTGCTTGCTTGCTTGCTTGCTTGCTTGCTTGCTTGCTTGGCTGCTTGGCTGCTTGGCTGCTTGGCTGCTTGGTTGCTTGGTTGGTTGGTTGGTTGCTTGCTTGCTTGCTTGCTTGCTTGCTTGCTTGCTTGCTTGCTTGGCTGCTTGGTTGCTTGGTTGCTTGGTTGGTTGGTTGCTTGCTTGCTTGCTTGCTTGCTTGCTTGCTTGCTTGCTTGCTTGCTTGCTTGCTTGCTTGCTTGCTTGCTTGCTTGGCTGCTTGGTTGCTTGGTTGCTTGGTTGGTTGGTTGGTTGGTTGCTTGGTTGCGTGGTTGCTTGGTTGCTTGGTTGCTTGGTTGCTTGGTTGCTTGGTTGCTTGACTGCTTGACTGCTTGGTTGCTTGACTGCTTGACTGCTTGGTTGCTTGACTGCTTGACTGCTTGGTTGGTTGGTTGGTTGGTAGGTTGCTGGCAGGTTCCAGAAGGGCCATACGACCAGCTTGAAAACTGTGCGTGCTGGACAGCTGCTGAACCAATCTTCTGACCTCGCTTGCTTGCGTGCACCATCTCATTTGTGCGACCGGACCAAATCGTGAAATTTATTGCTTCGTAGATCATGTCCCTTTGGTCGTCCACAGTCGTACAAGTCCCCCGTCATGAAGCAGAATTGAGCAGAAAGCACCGTGACCTTGCAAAGTATCTTGCGCAGTTGGACAGCACCACTGTCAGGATGTGGGTGGGTCTTGAGTAGGCGGTATTGATTTGGCTTGAGAGAACGCTTTGGGCAAACATTGTTGGGAAGCCCAAATGTATGCAGGGACGTCCACTCTCGCATGATGACTGAAGGAGGCAGGCAGGTTTGTGCTGTTTCCCACGATGGACTACTGCTTCCTACGCAGCATAGTTTTGGACAGAGGTGCGCGTGTTTCTCAATGCTCAACGATGCTTGATGCTCAGCAGGTTGAACCAGCCGCAGCTTGCTTCTTTGGCAATGCTGACCCAGATTGATACACTTGGCGGATTAGAAGCGGGGTGTTCCCCGAGTCGGCATCAGTCACTACAACCATTGCCACCGCCGCCGAAACCGCCACCACCGCCACCGCCACCGCCACCGCCACCGCCAGCGCCGCCGCCCCATCACCATTGGCATGAGCATCGCCACTACCACTATTATCACCATTCTCATAATCATCATCACCACTATCACGACCAGTGCCATCATCATTGTGACCACTGGCGGTTGCTTTTTGAGGAATGCGTTGCCTTCGCACCAAATGTGTACTTTCCGTGTGCGCCATTTTGCACCTGGGCAAGTCTGACCAATTCATAGCACGCCTTTGGGAAACTTCCATCGATGTTTTGACTGTCCATCGACACATCAAACGTGCTATCAGAGTCTGAAGTGCAGGCGAGTCGTTTCAGCTCATGCGACTGCCAGCCTCGCAGGGCTCCGGCTTGCGCAAGTCCTTTTAGCCTGTTATAGGCTTGCTTGACTTTACATGAACACAATTATTGCGAGCAGCTTTGAGATATTTACCAAAGCCATTCGCACACAGCGCGGAAAGTGCCCTTTTACCCATCCGTTTTTTGTTTGTAGGAGACCAAGACAACTGGAATTGTTTCCTTTCGGACACTGCCGCCTTGGAACATCACCCAAACGAGCTTCCTCATTTGTGGAAACCATGGATAGATACTCCAAATTCAACAAGTGGGTAAGTGAAGGTTAGGTGGGCACATTCCCAACCAGAAGTACAAGAAGCAATGAGCACTTGTCATTCTTGCTGCCCTTTGTCCCACCGCCAGGGAGCCCACAAAACTTTAGAGCCTCCGGCTCAGTCCGCCGACATTGTCCTCTCCCTTTTCTTCTTCTTCCTCTCTGCCTTGTCTCCCTCGTGCGTTCTGTCGTCCTCTCTCCCTCCCTCTGCTCCCCATCCTCCCCATCCCCCCAAGCCTCTCTCTCCTCAATCTCCCTCTCTCTGTCTCTCTCTCTCTCTCTCGCTGTGTCTGTTTCTGTGTCTCTTTTTTTTTCTGTCTCCCTGTCTCCTTCCTGTCCACGCCCCTCTACAGAAAAAGGGTACCCTAATTCGAACCTCTCTACTCTCTCACTTTCTTGCTCTCTCTCTCTCTCTCTGTCTTTCTGTGTCTCTCTTTCTCAGCCTCTGTCTTTCTCTCTCTCTCTCTCTCGCTGTCGCTCTCTCTGTCTGTCTCTTTCTCTGTTTCTCAGATTCTGGCTCTGTCTCTGGCTCTGTCTCTGTCTCTGTCTCTCTCTCTCTCTCTCTCTTTCTCACTCTCTGCGTCTCTCTCTCTCTCCCTCTCTCTCTCTCCCGCTCTCTCCCTCTCTCTCTCTCTCTGCATTGCAGTCACGTCCCCCCCTGAGTTGCCTCGATGTCCGGGCACGGCCCCTGCATGACCCGGAACTGTCATCTCACTACTGGCTTTCCCCTTGATTTCCCCTTCATGTTCTTTTCACGTTTCCCATGATGTCCTGTCCCTTCCAGGCCGTTCAACACCGCCCCCCCCCGATCATGTCCCTGACATTTTTCCATGTATGTCCCGTTCTTTCGTTGCGAGTCATTTCCCTACATCTCCCGTCGTGCCGATTGGTTTCCTTGTGCGTCGTTTCCATTTCCTTCCCCCTGCGCTCCCCTTGTTTTCATTTCTGTCCCTTGCATGTCCCTTTCAGTTCCCCTTGGTTTCCCTTTCGTGTCCCGCTGCTTTCCTGTCATGTCGACTTCCCATTTCCTCCCAGAGTTTTTCCAGATTTTCGGCAAAAGGAGGCAGGAACCCCAAACCAGCAAAGAGCCGGCAGGGGGAATCGAGCGTGGGGCCCCTGTTTTGCGACACCGGCTCCCCGAAGACGAGGTTTAGTGGAACGTCATCAAATTGCTGTGCGGGGAGGGGGGGGTGCGTAATTGACGTATCCCGGGCAAGGACTAAGGGGGGGGTTATCCTCTATCCTCTCTTAGGTATCCAACACGCCGAACAATGTCGGCGGATTTCCCCCAAAGCCGCGATTTGGCATCATTTGGCCCTAAATTTGGCCATGGGTCAACATCCCGTACCCCCAGCAAACATCCCAATCCCCACTCAAATAGGTTCTAACATGAGTGGTGAATTCACCTACCAACCAAAATGGAGAATCCCAAAACGGTTTTGACCACCACAGCCAAATGACTTGGCGCTCAGCAGGGTGTGGCGGCGCTCTTCCCGCAGCGCAGCAGCTACCCTGTGCCCTTGGGGGAGCTGGGGGCCGGGCGCTTCGACACCACTGCGCTAGGCGCGGAAATGGATGGAATGGAAGGCCGAAGCCACTGACGCGCAGCCAACGATGCTGGAACACGATCTTTCATTCCTGCCGTGATTTATATATATACATATATGCATCTACATAAGCATATATATATATGTAATGTAATGTAATGTAATGTAATGTAATGTAGGGTAGTGTAATGTAATGTAATGTAATGTAGTGTAATGTAATGTAATGTAATGTAATGTATGTATGTAAATGTATACATATATACACCCTACTATACATACTTTATGCACCTGAAGCCCATTCGCACAAAGCTTGCTCTCTTCTGATTTTCCAGTGACTGCTGACAGCGAGTCCCAAACAACATGCGCACGCAGGTCTTTTGCCACATCCCATCCAGGCGCCGGCTGGTTTTTAGTGCTTGTAGCCGTTGTGCAGCAGGCCGTTCTTGTACGGGGCTCCCATTGTGCGGACTCACTAGGTGCAAGCCATCAGCCCTCACTCTGTCAACTTTTACATACAGGTCCGGACAATGCCGGCGATTGTGATTGGTGCCTAGGTGAGAAGATTGAGTAATATAATGCAGATAAACAACAGGATACATAAATAGATGAATCACTAAGTAAATAAACAATTAAATGACTATATATATATATATGTACACATGCGGGTACACGTAGGTACATATGTGTATATATATATATACACATGCGTTGCACTCGTGTTTGCACGTCGTTTCAATCGATGGCCCCATCGCCAATCTGAGAATCGGTGTGCCAGGCCACCTGCGCCTAAGCCGCGGCGCCGCCCCGCGGAGGGAGCTCCGGGTCTTCCGGCGCGCGTGAAAAAAGAAAAGCAGCGAGCGCAGGGTTTCTTTCATTTTCAACAAGGCGGCCTTTTGGTTGGAACGTGAGAGAAAGGCGAATCTTCCTTGTTGTTAGGAATCTCCATGTTGTATGTCAAGAAAACTGAGCACGATTGGTAAATATGTGTGAGCGACTGACAAAATCACAGGGAGGACAAGGGAGGCCCACTCATATTTTGAACAAAAGCACAGAGGAGCCCATGCAATTGTCCTGTGTCCGCTCAGGAAAGCAGGTCATTTTGTCGGAAGCTCATATGTAAATATATTCTTTGTCAAGTAGCACCCTGCTTACCGAAAGTTTCAGAAAGGACTCTGCAAATAAGAAGAAGGAGCCTTGAAAAGGCCTCCGAACTGGAGTCTCCTCGGAGAGCGAGTTTGTGGTCCATTAAACATTAGAGAAAAAACACATGCCAAAGCGGGAGGGTAGTGTCAAAGCAGGAACTACGGAACTAGATACCTGCGCCGTAGACGGCCTGGTATTTCGCCCACCTTGCGCCCCTGAAACTTCGACTTGGACCTGGATATGACCTGCTCCGCGAGAAGCGCAGTATATACCTTGCCCGCTTGAGAACTCCCAGAGCTCGCAGGCCAAGGCGACGCTGGCGAGCGCGGGCATGGGACACTACGCGCTCACAGAGAACGGCGCTCGTGCCGTGAGGCACAGGATGCCGCTGGATCGGAACTGCCCGAGTGTTGCCTGAACGGTGCGATAGGTAGGGAATGTGGTGGCATGAGCCCAGGCTTTGGTCCCTTAAAGAAACACATTTTTTTTCCAGGGGGGGTCATTCCATGTCTCATTCCCTAGTTATCCCACCAGCAGGTGTGGCTCAAAGTCAAAGAGCTGGGGTTACGGAGGTTTTGGTCTCTTGTTTCATTTGCCAAGGTGCCATGTGGGAACCTTTTGTTGAGCCACAGGCATTCAGAGCCAGGGGAATCTACCGACTCCTGTTCGCGTTTGACGTGGCACGCTGCGGTAGATCCAGAGGTGCAAGCAACGGAGAGGTTTTTGGCGGTCCATTCTAAGTTTGGGTAGGACGAGGGGGGGACTCGATAGCGTGATTCGCTCGGAGTTTTGTACTTGCTTCAGTGGTTGAGAAGTAAGGTTCTATGCACCCATCGTGTGTGCTCGAAAGACATCACCGCCAGTCTCCCAGGAGAGAACCGAGATTTCAGTCGCTAGGCTCAGGAACAGGTGTGCTTTTCAGACGACCTAGGGAAATTGCTCCCCGCAGAAAGCGTAGGAGTCATTTTCAAGGTATACAAATCTGTTTCCTTCTATGGGTGGCAAGAGGACCAGCTTTGTGGTCAGCGGTTGGGTGCCATGCTTAAGCCAAAGGCACATGTTGCGTGAATCTGTGCACATCCACATGTCAAACCTGTGGCAACACAATCCCAGGCGGTTTTAGTGGTTTCCCCCAAACAATGATGGGTGAGCAGACCAGTTTGATCAATCATTGGGTTACTTAAATCGCTTGCTGTGCCTGTCTCTGGGGGGGATCTGAAAAAATGGGGAACTCTCTTTTGGTTTATCTAGGCCCCATTCTTGAAGGCACGCATTCAAATGCGCGCACATTCCCGTGATAGTGAGAGGGAACGGTCGGAATAGCAATGATTTTTGGGTCACTTTTTGAACATGCTATTGTCTATTGACTGTCCGCCCCAGGAGTGTTTCATGCATTCCTCTGAACATTTCACAGACCCAACACACACCCTCGTCAGCGCACATCTATCATCTTGATAGCAGGATCTCCGACGGCTCAGCGGTCTGGGAGAGATGGCTGGAGGGGCACCTCGTGGCTGGCGTGCTGCGGCGGGTGAAGGAGAGCCTTTCGTTTGGGCGATGGTCAAGGCGTGCAGCGACTCTCGACCATTTGAGGGAGCAAACCACTTTCAGACACATGGATATCCAGTTTCATTGCGTGTGTATTGCCGACCTTGCCTCAGATCCTCTTGCACGTTTCGAGGTGATCAAACCTGGTCGTTTCCCACATGGCTTCCCTTGACATTCTTTGAGGCTCGTTTTGGGTTGTGGAGATCTGCTAAGTCGCTCCGCTGACAATGGAAGATGGTTCCATTGCCAGAAGGCCTTTTTTCGGCCAAGAGGTGTGTCAGTGTCTCCAGAGACGATTGGCTCCAGACATGTTATTTTTTGGATGTCCGGCCCAATTGTATAGTTTTAAAGGGAACCCCCCTGTCAGGTTCCTTTGGTGGGAGGGTGGTCTAGTTTGCCGGACGGCTGGGCCGCCACTTCCCGGGCCGATCTTCAGGAGCATTGGCCCGGCGCCCACCTGGCGCAGCTCACCTCCTGCGGGGGCCTGCTGGAGGAGGGCCACCCCTGGCTGAAGGCGCCTTCGGGCCTTCGGGGCATGGGGCGCTGAAGGGCGTGTTTTCTCGTGCCGGGGAAAAGGCTGCAGCGCCCAAGTAAGAGGCAGGCCCCTTGGGCATCCCAATGACCAATCTGAGCAGTGGAACCCACACCTCGAAAAAAAGAGCCTCTGTGGTTTGAGTGGCGTTTTGAACATTTCCGGGGCGGGGGGTGGGGGGGTTGAATCAAGAAACCGACCTTCCACCGCATAAGCACGGTGAAAGGAACCGTGGCCCAACGTGCGGAATGTTGACATTGCGTCGAGGCCACCTGCGTGCAGGCAGATGAGTCAGAAGAAAGGCAATGTTGCAGGGCTCCTTAAAAGATACTTTTTGCAACCAGTTGAAACATGGCTTTTTCCACCAAAATAAAGGAACGCCTCCATTTACAAGGCAATGTTGAGCTGTATAATGTAAGGATCCCTGTGTTGAGGTCTCTTTGTCCTCCTGAGGATTTTAGGATTTTTAGCTGTGGAGGCTTCATCCCAGTTCTTCCACAGAGGAGTTCGCGGCATTTTGAGTGACAGTTAGAGTTGCAAAAGAAGTCCTGCTGGATCTAGAAGAGTGAGTCATTTGGCATGGGTTTTCCCTTGGCTGGCCCCTTAGTAAGGCAATGAAGGGCGTCGCTATGGAGCAACTTTATCTCTGCAGCTTGCGCTGTTCAAGAGCAAAGGTTACCCTTTCCGGATTCCCGAGCAATTTAAGAGGTGCCCGAAAGATGCGTTTCTTATAAAGAAAACCGCACCATGTGGGAAGGCAGCTGCGACGCTTCGCCCGGTCCTTTTTGCCCCTTGAGTCAGTCGCATTTGATCACTATGCCAGGAGCCGGACTCCAAAGAGGCCGCTGAGAAGATCTTCAGGACGTGGGCGCGCCTCTTTTGTCTCCGAACGTTCGGCGAATTGACCAACCGAAGAGCCATGCCCAATGGGCCAAAATGGGCAAATATGCCAACGCAGCCTTTGCTTGGGTTTGGTAGGGATCATCAAGCTTCTGACTATGAGGGGTCCTGTATGAGAGCCACGACCATGACCCACCTTGACCATGATGCAGGTGGCTATGCCTCCAAGTGGGGAATCCTTTCAGGATCGCGCTCAAAGGGAGTGCCACAGGAAACCAGCGGTTTGGAGGGCACCCTAAGTTTTGCAGAAGCGTGTCAATCGGAAGGAGTCTCTGAACATCTAGGAGCAGTTGAACGACTGACGCATCATGAGTACTCATGGTGCTTTTTGTAAATGGAGAACAGATATGAGCCTTTTTACCAAAGTGTCATTCAAGATTTCTCCATGGCCAGTCCATTGGCAGTCTCGACTCGGAGGTTGACATTTTTGCGCCACTATCCACGATTTGGCAACTGCCAAAAGTCTCAACACATCTGCATTACAAGCCTTGGTCCCCTTCCTCTTTCCTTCTGGCCAGGAAGATGAGCTCCTCGGATCTTGACATGTGATCACGCAGGCGGTCCAATGCAGCTTGAGTGGAACACATGGAGATAGATTGCCTAGAGAAAAATCCGATTGAAGCACCCGTGGCAGGACAAAGGTTCCTGATGTTGCAGCGCTCTCAGCAATCGATGGTGCCACGCTTGGAGTCTCTCTTTTTTCCAGGGACCTGGCTAAAGGGGCATGGATTTGGCTTTTGTGGGACAACACCAGGCCGCAATTTGGTAAGTTGTGTGTCACTAAAGGGGTGTTGGGGTAGCCTTCGAAGACGCCATGTAAAGGGGGGGCCGAGTCAAACGACCCCCTCATTGTTCGTCCTCAAACGCCTGAGGAGTCACTTTCCTGAGGCTAGTGGGCTAGCTGCCTCTTATGAACCTAGGTATTCGCTTGGTCCCGGGGGATAGGCCACTTTGGCTGAGCGAACTTCTAATTTAGCCTTAGGACCAAGAGTCCGTGGTCCGGCCTATGACAACCTTGGCATTGTGAGGTGCTTGACGAATGCCACACAAGATCTCACCAGAGACATGAATGTCCTTCCCTCGAGCATGGTTATCGCAGGCTCATTGTAATGAAAGAGACACGAGCGCGCACATATCGGTTGGCATACAATGACACATGGGGCTATCCCAAAAATTGGAGACCCCACCTTGATGCTTACGTACAGGGAACCAAAAAACCAGAAACCCACCCTGTGTGGGGTCCCCTGACGTCTTTCGGCATGCCTCAGGCTTTGCAACCCCATAGATATGAGGCTGTGGGTCAAAAATAGGTACCCAAAATGGAACCCGGTATATGGAACCAAGGACTAAAACCTGCGGTCCCCTGCTGGTTTCATTTTGACCCACAGCCATGTGGTTCCATGTTCTATCGCACCGATGCCTTTCGCAATTGGCTAGAGCGGCTTTGGCTTGAGCTCCAGAAACAGAGTGGCAGCCTGAACATGTCTTCACGATATGATGAAATTTCCTCATTTAGGCCTGCACATGTTTTTGTCTTTCTTTAAATATGTACATATATATATATATATATACACATGTTGAGCTGTCCTGCATTCAGATGGAAACTGTAAAAAAGCACCTGAAGAATGAACCACCCACTGCTCATGAAATTGAACACCCTGAGTCCAACGGTTCTGATCCCATCAACGCCGCCTGAGGTGGAGGAGCTCGCCAAGGGTGGCAGCTGCGCAAAGACGTACGTGCACTTGCCGGAGCCTGGTGCGGGGGTGTCCGAAATTTGAAAGTCCCTGGTCTCGTCTTGCAAAAGGAGACCAACAGGAAATCTACCAGCTTTGGTGGTTCAAGTTATTTTTCTTGGAACCCTGTTGTGACACGGTTGGAGCCTGGCAGATCGTTTGCCATGGAGTGCGGCCAGACTTCGCTTAGCAATGAATCCCTCATTTCTGCGATGCATCGTACGTGCCACCAGCATTCTGGTGACAGGGCATATGGTGTCACATCCGAAAATGCAACTTTCGGCTGGCTTGAGGGGGAGATGGATTTCGTTTCGAATCTCAAGTTGAGATTCGCGAAGAATTGAGTTGGATCCGTGTAGAATACCCTGTGAGAATTTTCAGAGGCCTCCTGCCTCTTGGTACATACGTGTGAAGTTTGATCGGTATGTTTTTACTTGCTGCACCATCGTTGGTGATCGTCGTCATCGTCACATCGTCATTCCTTATCCTGATCTTTAGCCTTGACAGCGCCACCAAAGACACCAACAGCACCAACGCCAGGACATGCACCAGCGTCCTCCGTCAATCATCAGCATCGTGAACCTCAAACCTGAGGACATGAGCATTATCAGCACCATCAGCACCATCAGCACCATCAGCACCATCAGCACCATCAGCACCATCAGCACCATCAGCACCATCAGCACCATCAGCACTATCAACTCATTCAACATCTCAGCACCCTCAACACCATCGCCACATACCACCATCAACACCATCGACATCATGAGCACTATCAAAGCCACGAACGCCGTCAACAATCCATGAGGCTGATTACATCTATCATCCTACTTGTATACCCAGATGGGTGTATTCCACCCATGATCAGATTATAAATATGTATATACATATATATATATATATACATACACATGTATACACACATGTACAATTATTAGGCAGGTTTCTTGGGGATTGTACCCAGGATGGCCCCTGTGCAACTCCTCTATAGCCTATTTGTAACCACCGAGGAAAGGACCTCAGGTAGGGCAAACAGAAAGCAGCCCGCAAATTTCAGACACCTTCGGACCTTTACGCGGCCCTAGGCCCGAGGCGGCGGACTTCCCAGCTGCCATGCAGGAGCTCCAGGGCTTGTTGGGTGATGGCTGGGAGCTGCGAGAGATCAAGCAGCTGCTGCCGAAGACGTCCGGAGCTGAGAACCGGGAGGGAAAATGAAATTGGGGAACACACCATGGAGGAGAGCATAGGTGTCCTTTTTGGTTGTTTTGGTAGAAAAATAATCATATACCAGGACCATCTATTCGCGCTAAAAGGACACCTATGGATGAGAGATGCCTTTTCTGGAGCAAAGAGTTCTTTGTTCGACTCAGATTATACCTGGCATACTTACAAGTGAATCATGCGCACCAAAGCGTTTGTATCAGCCAATTCGACCTCCATTGATTCCTGAGGCTGAATGTTGAACAAGGTTCTTTGATGCCAACTGATCAATGCACCGGATGTGATGGGATCGTTGGAAGACATATCACATGTATTTGTGACAAAAGCTCCCTTATGCATCCCAAAGTATATTCCCTGTTAAATGCAGGAAGGGAAAGACCTGCAGTGCAAAACCGCAGGAAGTAGGATCCCTCCGTTGGCCTCTGAAGTGAAACCTGCAGGAAGTGACACCAGGGGTACAAAGGACTCCTCTAGTGCGGAACCCGCCGAGTATTTTGCAAGGCCTTGAAGCTTGACGTGAGATTGGCAACGTCTGTTCGAGGCACAAGGATATGAGAGTCCCCTTGAGCACATTGGGATAAAGTTAAGAGTCAAAGGGCTGTTCCCCATGGACCGATATGCGAATGTGAAGCACGTTTCCAGTGGTGATTCCTTGCACCCTGAGCATGCTGACTTTTCTTGGGCCTTGTTCCCCACTTGCAGAATCCCATTGCTGTTCTTTCTTGAAAAAACAAACAAACAAACAAACAAACAAACAAACAAAGAAATAAAGCAAAATAAGTTACAACAAAAAAAACACAATCGAACAAACACAAACGAACGAACGAACAAACGAACGAACGAACGAACAAACACACGAACACACGAACACACGAACAACCAACCAACCAACCAACCAACCAACCAACCAACCAACCAAACACACAAACAAAAAAACAAACAAACAAACAAACAAACAAACAACCAAACAACCAAATAAGCAAACGAGCTTCTTTGCTCCTGCCATATTCTTTGCCTATGTTGGCTTGTGATAGAGTGCCAAGCAGACAACATATCGTTTGTTCTGGTTGGCAACTCTTTTTGAACCATGTTAAGCATTGTAACCGTTTGAGAAAATCATCATGTTCCAACAAACTGGCAGCAGTTCAAGCTTTTGCAGGGGCAGTCAGACCAACCCAGTCTGAAGCCCTTTCTGAGCACAGGTTCAACACCTGCGAGGCCGGCAGTGGAGCGGAATTTGGCCTTGTCTTTTTTCAGAGACCTGTTCAGAGGGAAGCCAGGAAGAAGCCACCGATTGTGGGAGGGGGGGGAATTGTTTTGGGGAGACACGCACTTTTCGGGGGAGAGGGGAGGTCTGTCATTGTAGATGTCCTGCCGTTGATGCTATGAGATGCCATCAGTGAATAGCTGCTGTTCATTTTCCAGCCGATGCTGGTAGAGTCATTGACATCGTAACAGCACCGAAGAGTCAAGTGTCCAGAAGCGTCTACCTAGCACGTCACGCCTCTATCTTGACTACCCCGTATGAAGGCAGGACTATTCATGATGCATTGGTCACAATCAGTGATGAATCCAAGCCAGTGACAATTCATGATCATCTGGGCCCCAGCATGAATCATTGCCATCTAGTCACACCATGGGTCACATAGTCATGAATATTCATGATGGTCATTGACTCTTCATGATCCCGCTTGGATTTTCCTGGAATCGAATCGAATCTGCCCGCCAGGTGCAGAGCTGCTTGGTGAACAAGGCGGAGGGCCTCGCTCAGCTCTGCCAGGCCTGGATTGGGGGCTTCTGCGAGGAGGGGGACGAGTACTTGCTGGTGGGATACATGGAAAGTGTCACCTTCAGCTCCGAAATGCCGTGGCCAGACGATCGGAGTGCCCATGGAGAACGTCGGGACACCAAGGATGCAGGGCCTTTACCTAAAAAGTATTTTTCTTCAGTGTGCGGCTTTTGAGTTTTTTCGGCACCTCACCCGGCCGGGGACCCTTTGATTTTTGTCCGCACCTTTCTGAGAAACGTAGCAAGAGATTTGGAGCTACCGGTTTTGCCCTCGGGCATATGTCTTCTGAGACGTTCCATCCTTTGGAATCCTATCATTCTGATTGTGCCTTTGAGCATTGAAGCTCTCTACCTTTCCAACCATGTCCCCCACTTGCCCTGCAAGTCGAAGGTCCTCTCCCTAAGGACTCAGCCGGTCCCCATTAAACGTCACTGCCCAAAACCCCTACTGGCCACGTTACAACTTTTAACGTGGCCAATTGGGGTGTTGGGCGGTGACGTTTAAGGGACTAGTTAAAAGGTTTAATGCAAGGCCGGAAAACAAGAAAAAGGCAAACAACGCGCACTGCCCTGTTAGTAGAACCAGAAGTCAATGGGTTTCGGGCGCTGCTCACTTGTCCCACGTCGACCTTCTGATAGTCTTAAGATTGCCGCTGGGAGGTAGAGATTGGACACATCAAAATAATTATTTAGTGAATATTAGCAAATGAAATAGTGAATGGGAAGAGTGAATTAAAACAATTGCGAATGGGAATAGTGAATGGGAATAGTGAATGGACATACGCCTACATGGCGAGGTGACTAGAGCTTAGGCCCTTAGGCTTAGCAAAGCAAAGCGAAACAATGTTGATATGCTAAAGGGAAGCCCCCCCAAGTCTGCCCAACGCAGCGCCCGCAATTTCCATAAGTGCCAATTCACTAATTTTCACTAATTCCATTCACTATTCTGTTCACTAATTGTTTGCTCAAGATTGCAGTCTTTTCAAAAGGAAAAAACACAAATCACTAACCTGCATTACATTTCGCTAGTTTTCACTAAAGTGCACTAAATTTCACTAAATTTCACTAAATATCGCAAGTCCAATTTAGTGAAAATTAGTGACATTTAGTGAAATTTAGTGAAACTTAGTGAAACTTAGCACAATTTATGAATTTCAATGAAATTTTAGAAAGAGATTCACTAAATTTCACTAAATTTTACTAAATTTCGCAAGTCCAATTTAGTGAACATTAGTGAAATTTAGTGAAATGTTCATCAAATTTCACTAAATTTCACCAAATTTCACTAAATTTCACTAAATTTCACCAAGTTTCATAAATTTGATTTAGCGAAAGTTAGTGAAATTTAGTGAATTGAAATAGTGAAATCTAATGAATTTTAGAGGTTCAATTTGCACAAATCGGCAAACTGTTGCTCTTCAAATTAGTGAAATAAATTAGCGAATGCTCGCCCCGCCTGTTGGGGAAGCCGCTGGCAGGCCCTCTTATCACAAATGCAAAGACCAATTGGCTCCTTTGCTCAATTCACAAACCTGGAAACCCACATTCTCAATTCACTAATTGAAGTCACAAACTGCAAATCCATGTTTCCCAATTCACAATTTTGATTCACTAAATATTTCACTCACTATTTTGATTCACAAACTATTTCACTATGTTTCACTAATTTAATTCAAAACATGTGTTTCAGTGTCTGCCTGGTCCGGCAATCTTAATGATAGTCAGGGTTTTCACAAGGCTGAACTTTTTCTCTTTTTTGGCCCCGAGTCTTTGACTGCAAGTCGACCCCATTTTGCAGCAGGAAGCAACCGGCTTTGTGCAATTCCTTTTTGAGGAGAACATGCAAGTGAGTACAGCCTGCTTTTTGTTTGGCTCCTGACTCCCGGTTGTACGTGAGGTTTGGATGTTTCTTGCGGCTCTCCCTTTTTGACAAAGCACAAAAGCCAAATCCGCGCTCCCAACCCAGGCTTGTTTGCCTTCAGCCGCCGTGGTCTAGGTGTGGGCCTTTGGCGATGACGCCAACGACCGACGGATGCTCTCTGAGGTGGGTGCGGAGCCTCGGCGAGCGCGGGTTTAGATGAGGGGGCGCTGGAGCCTTCTACACATTTTCATGACCGGCATGGCAAACAAGCAGGAAGCTGCGAGCAACACTGTGTAGTGCCACCCGACCAATCAAACCTTTCTCGCAGGAAGGATGCCATACCTCGGGGTGAGAAGCAATTCTTCTGCGATTTGAGCTCAAGAGTTGTTCAGGGCCAGGATTAGTCCTTCAAACGGAATGGAACCGGATCCGCCTAGAGAGATTCCATTTCCTCCACAAGCGGGTGGTGTCAAGAAAGGAAACCGCATAATCCTCTTGAGGAGTGTCAGTTCTGGGCAAAGCCGGAGTTGCCTGAGTCCCAGCTATTGGAAGCCCCTTGGTGGATCGCTTAAAGAACACAACGCAACCGCCAGCCGTTTGGAGCGCCCGTCCGAGGCTGGGGTGTGCGCATGGCCAATCACCTGCCGGCGCTGGGAGGCATTGGCGCGGGTGCCAAGGTGGATCGGTAATCAGCACGTGCCAAGCCCAAAGGGTCCGAGGGCAGCGCGAAAAGGAGCCGGTGTGTAAGCCAAAGTGGTCTAACCACTGCTTGGACCCAGGGAATCAACATGAAACGGCCGTGAAACTCAGTGATCATCGGACGTTTGAAGCTATGTGAGCACGTGGGTTTGTCAATCCGAGCCGTCGCCGCAGCGCTCTCCCGCCGCGCTTCCCGCCGGCCGAATGGAGGCCGGGAGGTACCGGAGTGAGGTCAGGTGGGGGCAGCGTGGCGGAACGCCTGGGCGTCTAAAGGAGAGTCCTCAACAGCGGCAGATTGAACATGTGGACCTGGCACAGAAGTCGTGTTCAATCTTCTTTCCTGCCGAAAATTCTTGGGCCATGCCCATTTATTGCCCAATTGAACGTGATGCGTTCTTGTTCTTGGCCTTTGTTGGAAGTTTCAGCATAGCACTCCATGTTAGCTCTGGCTGTTGCCGCCCTTCTGCCAGAAAGGCTGAAGTTTGGGCTGCAAGGGCTAGAAGCAGTACGGGCATGTCTCTGTGCACCGTTTTGTTTGTCCAGTGATCGCGTGGGCCTTTTCGGGACAGGAATTGGACACCCCCATTCACCAAATGATCTGGGCAAATTGTAGGTTGTTTGCGATCTAGCTGTGATAGAACGCCCTCATTCGGGGGTTGGTTACTCATTGTGCTTCGACCCTTGGTGTCAATTTTGTGCCGCCTTGTTTGGGGCATCCCCATCCAAAAAGGGTCACCAATCTCAACCCGGCGTATGGCCCCTTGCAGCAGCAGGTAGAGATCCTGGTTGGTAGATGCCTTTCTCTGGCCGCGGCAAGGCCATGAGCACGCAGCATGTCATCTCCGCTTTGGCGGTCAGCCGGGAGGCCGAATGACAGGCTTTTCTTGGGCCAGGAGAGCAGTTCCGTTGCCTGAAGTTCTTTTGAACACCTTGGAGGTAAGCTGACTTATCTTTAGCTTCCGCACGCCAAGGTGCAGAGGAGGCTTGAAAGGGGTGGCACTGTGAGAGGCTTTTAGAGAAAGCCCTTTTGCTCGCCAAGTTGTGGCTGTTGCCTTTGGCGCATTTCGGTGCCAACCGCCACACCAAAATGCCAGTCTCGCAGACTGCAGCTTGAACAGCAACAGGCTTGAGGGCTCATTTGAAGCTAAGGCGCAGCGCTTGCTGGGAACCCGTTTGGAATCAGATGCCCCATGGTTCACAGGAAGTAGTTTCCTTCAAACAGTAGACGAGAGTGACGAATCTTCAGTCCCGGCTTGAGTGAACATGTAGTTTTATTGGAGTGGTGTCCTTGTCTAGCGCTCTTCAAGCCATGCAACCGCCGTGGTCCAAAGCTCAGAAAGCTGCTTGACCAGCTTTCCCCTTTGCATGTTGGCAGCTGCAGGCAAGCCTTCTGTGCCTGGACCCAGGTTTGATGCTACTCATGCCGCTGATGCTTCTGTTCTTCTTGGCGGAGCTCCTGGGAGAGACATGGGCGACCCTGCGAAAGCTTTTCTATGGTCCGGGACGCCCAGGACCTGCCGGGTATGGTGGCGTGTCGGGGTTTGCTCAACATGTAACCCGGGTCCAGGCGTTCGGGGCGCACACTCGCAGGTTCCGACTCGTCAAGCTCTGGGGCGCTTTCCCCCACCTACCCGCAGCCACCGGGACTCTGACAATTGGAAAAGACATAGCTCGCGCTTGAGTCTGTGTTTTGGAGGCTATTTTAGGCTTTGGCACTTTTCGGTTTTGAAAGGTAGCTAAGTGTTCAGCATGGTAGACATGGCATCCCATGATGTCCATGTCCTCGGGTAACAGCACATTTGAGTGTGGTTCATTGAAAGCGCACAGCTCACTTCAATCTTCCAAGGATTCGCAAAACCTCTCTCTCTCTCTCTCACCCCACTCTCGCTCGCTCGCTCTCTCACGGGGACTCGGAGTGCTCTGAGGCCTGTGCGCGTTCGTCGCCCTGGTGCTGCCTGGCCCCCAAGCTGGGTTTTGGGGTCGCAGGTGCAGTTAGCGGAAGCAGCCCCTTCTCTAGTTTCAGGACCCCTGGAGGACTCCATCCAAATGCATCATGAAGAATCTTGGTAGACGGACACCTCAGCGGGATTCCAGTGCTTGCCTGACCGTCCCTGCAAAGATGGGCTTGGACAGTTTGTGTTTGGGCGCGAGGCCCGAGGCTGCTTCACAATCCCTTGACCTGGACAGAAGCCCAAGAACTTTTCCATTTGTGATTGACAAACCGATGGGACCTGGGGGGCCGAAAGCCTTTCCAGGTCCCTTCCTCCGAAAAGCGAAACGAGGAGTCGTGAGTCGTGAGCGCCAGGAGCGTCTTCAGTTTCCTGGCCTTCCTGCTGCTCTGGTTGGCTTCCTCTCCCCTGAGGTGCCAAGCTTCCGTGTAGGTCGGTATGACAGGGCGGCCTTGCCCACCGCTGAAGCTCGCTATGACAGCAATGAACTTTTCTCCTGGCTAAATGTCTGAGATCCACTCCCAACTGGGTAGGCAAACTGGGAACTTGCGACGCTGAAGGTAACAGGAAACGCAAACGCCAGGAGCTTCCGGCGCCGCGATGGGTTGCACCCGCTGGAGCTGGTCGGGTGCTCGGGGCGTGGGGTGGACCCGCTTGGCTAGAAGGGTTGTTTGCCATCGGATGGTAGTGGCGTTTGGCGAAGTAATAGAGACTGTCTTGCAACTGTGCTGACATGCGGATGCACTTGTCGGGCTTGTCCCAAAAAGGGCACCGCGTTTGGATGGTTGTAAAGAGAACGGCGCCAGTTTAAAATCAAGGACTTGGCGAGGTCTCTCCCTTCTTTGGAGGAGACGCCTATTTGAATGCCGGAAGTGATTGCCAAATGAAAGCTGCACACACGGTTGTAGATTTCCCTGCTGACATTCAATGCCGATAGGATCAAGTCTGGGATTTTTGGTGGCCGAGAGACAGGTGCCTCCAGGAATTTGATATCATCGCACTCTAATTCTTGTGCACCCGATATTTGCAGAGGCAATGCACGTTCCAAAACGGTACAACCATGCTGGATGCCCGAGGTTGCGCATCAATCCAACCCTGTATCAAAGCTGCTCATTTGTTTCTCTCGCACAGATACAACTGATATAACTGACGATGTCGACATGTTCAATCTCGGCAACTTCTGACTGCTTGCCTGCCTTTCTGCCTGTTTCAAGGCTACAGAGACAGAGGTAGAGGCAGAGGCAGAGACAGAGAGCGAGAGAGAGAGAGAGACAGAGACACACGGACATATGAACATCCAGAGCGTATATTGAAAGCACAGCTTGCATTTGCCCTGATTCACAGATATTTTGGTCATGCTTAACGCCTGAGGATAGCTAAAGCTACTACAAGCCGCGGACATCAACTTGTTGCAGCAAGGCATCGCTGGCATAAAGCTAGCATAGTCCAAATACTGCCAGAACAAGGGGCTCCAAAAAAGGGGAAGGTTACTGCCTTCGATGGTCCGCAATGGTGCCTAAAGTCAGCCATTACGGTGCCATTTGAATCACATTAGGAATCGTGGCATGTCGGTGACGGAAGGATTCCTTCCTGCTGGGCTTGCCTAGGACAGCATCTTCGGCACTCACGGTTTATCGTAAGGAAGGCTCGTGCATTTGTCCAAAAGTTCTCGACTGCAGGTGGCAGAGTTGCCTTTGGCGCTCTGCTCTCTGATCCACAGCAGAAGCTGTGCTTGGCTGCTCCGTCTTCTGCGTCATCTAGGAGGGATCATGGGGCGAGTGCGGAGCGGTGACTGGCGGAAAAGGCCAATTCAGAAGAAGGTTTTGCTCCCTGGTTTAGTTGGGGTTATACTGGGGCCCCACATAAACCAGGACAACCGACAACTGCACTGAAGTATCAATGTCAACGGGTTGGACTTGATTGTGGCACCCTTGGGGGGTAGTTGCAGTCCATTGCAATACTAATTTGAGATAGCTGGTGGGTCTAGCTGGCTGCTACATTAGCCCATCTGATGTTGTCCTGATCAATCGTCTCGGATATCGACGAACCTATGTAACCTCAGCTGGGCTGGGTACATGCGTCTTCCAGCTCGTGCAACAATAAGGCCGTTCGGCCGCAAGTCAAGGTTTGGATGCCAAAAGACGATTGAACACCACCTTGGGGTCCTCTCCTATTGAGAAAACAACCGCAAGGAGCACATGCAATCATCATGTTTAGGAGATCTCTCAGTTTGGGACGAACCAATAGAGGCTTCATGTTATCATGAGAAACACGCACACACACACACACACACATCCACACACTAACATGGAAGCAGCTAGCAGGTTGACCCCCTTCTGAATAGCACATCCAGTTGAAGGGAGTTTCTTTGACCCTGATTTGTGTTTCTAAGGGCCTGGTCTGGAGTCATTCTGTTTTGAGTCATTCCATGTTGGAGATGGACACATGTGTTTTGAAACATTCACTGCCGAGTCACTCCATGATGAAAAACACCCACTTTGAGCCATTCCGCGGGAGTAACTCGATTTAGAATTACCCATGCTGAGCTCCTTCCATTTTGACAACACCCATTTTGAGTCATTCCATTCTGAGTCATTTCATGTTGGAAATAAGCATGTTGAATCATTCCGCGTCGTTCCGTGTTGAGTCTTTGGACTTCATTCTATTTTGGAAGCACCGATTTCGAGCCATTCCACATTGGAAGCAGGCGGCGGGGACTCAGCGGAGTTTGCGCAGCTGCGGCAGAACTCCAGCTGGTTTAGCTTCCAGGAGGCGAAAATGTTTGTCGGTCACAAGGTCTCAAAAAAGCGTGAATTTAGGAGAGAGAAATGCAGCCTGATGTGCCTTCAGGCCGGCCGGCCCCAAGTGGGTGGTCCCAGCAACTGATATTTTTGCTGACCCAAGAAGGCCCTCTTGGTTTGCTTGTGGTTGAATGACCGATCCCCCCAAACGGCTTTGTTACTTTTGTTGGTTTCTCTTGAACTGCCATCCTGGCTTCTCCTTTCAGGCAGCCCA